GTCCAAATCCACTCTCTAAACAGATGCACGAGTGGCCTGTTTATCAACCTACTCTTAGAACAGCTGCTTTATTCGTCCAGGTCTCTACCAACCATTAGGACAGCTGCACCATTGGTCCAGGTCCCTACCAAACATCAGGACAGCTGCACCATTTGTCGAGGACCCTACCAACCATTAGGACTGCTGCATCATTCGTCCAGGACCCTACCAACCATTAGGGCAGCTGCCCCATTCGTCCAGGTCCCTACCATCCATTAGGACAGCTGCATCATTCATCCAGGACCCTATCAACCATTAGGACAGCTGCACCAATCATACAGGACCCAACCAATCATTAGAACAGCTGCACTATTCGTCCACGATCTTACCAACTATTAGGACAGCAGCACCATTCGTCCAGGACCCTACCAAACATTAGGATAGCTGTACCATTGGTTCAGGTCCGTACCAAATATCAGGACAGCTGAACCATTTGTCCAAGCCCCTCTAACCATTAGGACAGCTGCATCATTCGTCCAGGATCCTACCAACCATTTGGACAGCTGCACAATTCGTCCACTACCCTACCAACAATTATGAAAGCTTCACCATTCGTCCATGACCCTATAAACCATTAGGACAGATGCACCAATCGTACAAGACCCAACCAATCATTAGAACAGCTGCACCATTCGTCCAGGACCCTACCAACTATTAGGACAGCAGCTCCATTCGTTCAGGACCCCCACCAACCGTTAGGACTGCTGCGCCATTCATCCAGGTCCCAATCAACCATTAGGACCACTACCCCATTCGTCCAGGACCCTACCAACCATTAGGACAGCTGCAAAATTCGTCCAGGTCCCTATCAACCATTAGGACAGCTGCACCATTAGTCCAGGACCCTTACCTACCATTAGGACAGCTGCTCCATTCGTCCCGGACCCTACCAGCCATTATGACAGCTGCACCATTCGTCCAGGACCCCCACCAACCATTATGACAGCTGCACCATTCGTCCAGGACCCTACCAGCCATTAGATCAACTGCACAATTCGTTCAGGTCTCTTTTCAACACACTGAATAACTAATTAATAAAAATTTCTTTAACACATTTAAGATGAAACATATACACCCGGCCACTGGCGGTGGTGAAGGAGCCCGGGTGAATTTTGAGAGTGTTTAAGGGTTATATGAGCCGTGGGGAGGTACCTGGAGCAGGCCAGGAGCGCCAGGCAGGAATTTCATAATGTGTGGTAGTATGGGGGAGGAGGCGGCGTAGTGGGGAATGTGCGCTTTCAACTGAAGACTCACACTAAGTAATATATAAGCGGACGGTGGAGCTACGCTGTTGCATATTACATTAAAATATCTTGAAGGACTCTTTCCGAAAATATGAGTCAATTATTTCTTCTGGTTTTATTGGTCCATTGTTGGAAGGGTTGAGAGGCAGTAGATCTGCAGCTGTATAGGCACTATTGACGCTAATACTTTTGCGATTTTGATGATCTACTTATATTCCAATAAGCAGAAGATGCAATGAAAAAATGGAATAGAAGTATATGAAAGATAATGTGTTGAATTCATCCTCTCGTTCAGTATTGACCAATGTGCTAGAGTTACTTTTAAATCACTAAACTCCTGTTAGTTAGAGCTTGAACTAACACTAATAGGCACAGATATTCCAGGTAAATATTCTAAAATCATCGACTGAGTCATAATGTGTTCGGAAAAGGCCAGTTTAAATTTTTGTTTCAGGCTTCATAAATAAAAACCTGAAAACCAGAACAAAGTCATTATCAGTTTCATATACAAACGCAAAACTCAGCTGGCAAGTTATTATAAAATAAACTATTGTATCTAGCTATAAAATGCTATCAGCAGCAATATATAGAAATTACATATAAAGTCCAAATACTGAAATGCTCTCATAAATGTCATGTTGAACAAGCATCATCCTGTAAATTATTATCTGTATGCTGATTTTGAACTGCATTCCTGTTAGTCAAAACTTGAAATATCATTTCTATGCACTAGTGCCTAGAAATGCCCAAGGATCAGTGAAATGCCCTAGGATCACGCTACTGCCCCTCCTGAGGGGCAGTAACAGTTATCAAGAACTGAGATGTAATAGTCAACTAAATGGAGAAAGGGGGGTGGGGGGGGTAAACAACACTAGACAAATCCATCACCAAATGTCTTTAAATATTATGTACATGTAATTATTTATAGAAAATATACACCATCATCTACACACCGCAAATAACACCGCATGAGTCACTTTCACACAAGACACCACAAAAACCTCTGTGATCTTCTATCACAGTGAGTTCTCCTAGCACAGCACTCAAGGCTCCTTCCCTGTGTACACTTCTTCTCAGGTACCTACACCGGCATGTCCACTTTTCCAAGAATTCACGGGTCAGTCCTCCACTGTATTATCACAGCATCTAAATATTATCTCCAGCAACACGGTGGTTGGCTTCCTCTAAAGGCTTAACCTCAAAAAAGTTTTAACCAG